ATATATTAAAATTTATATATCGATATAAATTAGGATTTTGTCTAAAAGTGCATTGTAAGTACTTTTATAATTCCTGTTTGATGTTGTAATGGTGGCCTTTTTATAAAGAAAAATTATTTTTAATTTAAATGTTTTTAATCAATATTTTTATTTATGGCTTTTGAGTATTAGGTCAATGTTAGTCAGAAACACCATAAAGTTACAAAATAATTCACACTCCTTTTTTTAAAGTTCTATATGATTTTCTTATACAAATTTACAATCCATTTTAAATTTAACAGTGTGTAATATCTGAAATATGATCCCTGCTATGTTTTACTCTAGCTAGCTTCCAAATTGCCCAATAACACCTATTAAATAGTCCATCTCCATCATCCCATTTGAAATAGCTTCTTCATCATAGACTGAATCCCACATGCACTGTGTTTGATCCCTGAGACTTCCTCCCTGCTGTTTTATGTTAGCAAAACACTGTTATATTCCTGAAGCTTCAGGGTAGCTTCTAACATCTATTAGGGATGGTTAGTCCTCATGGCTTCCTATTATCTTCAGTATAAGTTGGGGATACATTTTATTATGTCTTTTTTTTTTCATATACAGGCATTTTTTTCTGTAGAAAAATTTTATACCCAGACATCTTACTGCGCTGTCTTTCACTGTGCTGATTGTCAGCTGATTCTCTGGGCATTTCCAGGTGGACGATCACACCACCTGCCAATCACTCCTACACCCACTCTTTCAATCTTCCTGCCTCACCATCCACTGGAACCACACATAATGCTGTCTCCAAACCCTTCTCCATCAACACTTGCTCCCAGGGTGAGCTTACCCAGCTTCTCTGGAATGCATGAGAATAGTCTTCTGCATTATTCATCACTGCATCTTCCCTACCTGGAACAGTGCCTGGCACAGCATAGGCACACTGTGGTACTGGGTCAATGCAGAAATGAGTGGATGAGTGTTTCGGATTATTTAAAATGCTACATAGTTAAGTTTTTAAAGGAAATGACAAGTAACTGAACTTGGCTGCAGCATGGACACATGAAAGGAAGTCATAGGAGCGAAGGCTGCAAATACTCGTTGTCCCTAGGTCATCTACAATAACCTAGCTAACAAATATCATGAGTAGAGTGAGAAAGAAGACACATAGTATGTGTAGAGCACTAAATTTCTTACCCTTTATGAGGGAACCTAATAAACTCTGTTATTGACATTGATAAATCAGATCTAGAAATATAGTTTGATTCTGCAAAGCTATAATATAACTGGTAAAAGAGCTAAAAATTGAGACTGTGAACATTGGTTGCTATTGGGGAAAAAGATGGAGAGAGACTTTGCATTTTACTTTATACACTTTGGTGTCCTCTGCAATAAAACGAATGTGCATGCCTTACTTCTGTGAGCAAATGTAAAGAGATAAGGTGAGCCAGGCCATGGAGGGCCCTGAATGCCAAGCACAGTGTTCTTTAGCTGTGGAATCTCACATTGCCTGGTGGGTGGGCTTCCTGCACAGACTCACAGTGGGCATTGAAAGACTCCAGGTCAGCCACTCCTCACAGGGAGGGGGGCCGGAAGGGGAAAGATGCTGAGAGGCTGTGATAAGTGGTTGGAGTCCGGGCCAATGAGAAACGTCTCATGAGGTCCTTGTCTCACACATCTCCAGAATATCATTTGTCAGTGCCCCCTGCACAGGAAATCACAGGGGCTGTCCAGCATCTTGATAAGCCTCTCGTAGTCACCAGGTTTCACTCCTGCTTCTGCAGGCACCTCCTATCCAGAGGTTAGAACAGCATTCTCTGCTGTTTGTCTCTCCCAGGAGAGCTCTTCCTTTTCTACTCACCACCCCCAACGAGAAGATGGCGCTAAGGTAAGAGTTGGCTCACAGCTGTCTTCTCTCAAAGGCAGTGTTGTTTTTTCTCTCTTCATCCACAGGCTATGATTTCATCTTGGGGAGGGGCAGGCAGGGAGCCATGGGCCCCATCAGTGACAGTCAGCAACATGAAGCTCCCTCAGGAAAGCTTTGGGTGCTGGGAGCTTAGACTGTGGGATGTCCACATGGGGCCATCCGGGTTCTTTCTGCTTCTGTTGTATCTCCCTAGTTCTTCCTTTCTCTCCATACATTTAAATGTGCAATTACAGAGATAAATATATTGCTAATTTTAATTTAGGGAACAGGATGTCAAGCAGAAGTTTCTTTCCAAGGCTAAATTGTTGCTAATAACCTCAATTTTCACATAGTAAGTTGCTGTTCAATGGGTTTGTTTATGTTTTCTGTATCCTTGTATCATGATTGTCCCAGAAGAAAACACACTACATCATCTAATGTGGTAATTGAGGAGAGTTTAATAAAGAGACTGTGTACAAAGCTATGGCCAGGGCTAAGGGAAGTATATAAAGGATGCAGAGGCCCCAAAGACAAGTCATAATAGGGAGGTGTTACCATTGTGTGTCCTGAAGGGGAGAGGGGAGAAGAGGTTACTAGAACTCAGGGAGGGTGGTGGGCGTAGTTGTAGTTGTCACTGTGACTTAAGAAAGGTCACCAGACAGAGGCCATGTCCTTAGCTACAGTAACAAAGCCACTGCTAACTCCCAGCCTGACAGAAGACACACGGAGCTGAAAACCCTAAATCACTCTCCTGCACTTAGTCACCTACCAGTGTCTCCTTTTCACTGAGAGCAACCAGGAACCAGGAGAAACGGGAGCCCCATCCATGAGACACAGGGACGTCTCCTCCCCAGACACAGAAGAGAGCAGAGAAAATGGAAATGAGATTTGATGTCATAGAAGAAATTCCATGTCTTCTAATACCTTCTTCACAGTTGCTTTTCCTGGAACTTTCTCTCAAAATGATTGCATCAATTTGTCATTGTATCTCTTTTAGTTTGTTTGTTTGATGGTTTGGTTGTCCCTCTCTATCTGGTGTTACTTGTTTGGAATAATATTTCACTATCATCATAAATGCCTGTGAATGGAATGTAGTTTTTTATTTAATGTGGTGGTAAACAGGTATTTATAAATATTTTAAGTTTATGATTTTGGATGCTTTGGTAAGGAATCCATTAGAACAGTTCCTTAAACTGTGACCCACACACAGAACTAGGCACTGGGCAGACTGATGGACAGGGCACACCTCTGGCTCCTGGCTGCTCTGGGTGAAAAGGAGACACTGGTGGGGGACTGAAGAGCATAAGGAGGGTGTTTTAGGGTTTTCAACTCCCTGGATCTCTGCTGCCACATAAAGCTGACACACTGGGCTATTTCCAACCCTAGAGTCCTGGCCATACTCACACCTCTCATAGAAAAAAGTGACAGTCTCTTTATGACCCAACATCATGATCTCCTTTCTGGTGGATGAACACTCTCAGTCACTGAGGTAGCCCATACATCATGCCTTGGGTCCAACTTCCTGTCCTCAAAGGAAATCTCAGTCCCAGGGCAGAAGGAATGCTGAGCTCAGTCCTGTTGTCATCCCACATACTCTGTCCAGATTTTTCTTCTCTTGCCTCCAGGAGACATGTGATTACCAGGGACTATGAGGAGAGGTGTTTGGACCATAGAATATTCCCATGTCTGTATAGGGTTCGTGTTTCAGTAGAGAGAGCCCAGGCTTTAGAGTCAGAGAGAACTGAGTTTGAATTCAGGGTCCAGGGCGCCAAGGCTGTGTGGCCTTCAGGAAGTATCTTAATCTCTGCAAGCCTCCATTTCCCTCCTCTGTGACACAGGGACAGTAATTCTCTTGTATCAGGGTGGCCATGAGAGTCAGAGATCATACAGCAGGTGCTCAAGTCTCGTTTCTGTTCTAGTGGCAGCAGTGGAGAATTTCCCAGCATTAATGCAACGGTCGCAACCTGGGGGACTACATTTTCACCAATGAATGGAAGTGACCAGGACCCTCCTCAAAATATCGACATGGGGACACTGATCTTGGTCTCGCTGATGGCCATCATTGCCATGGTTGGACTGGCAGGAAACGCGGTGGTGCTGTGGTTCCTGGGCTTCCGCATGCAGAGGAACACCTTCTCTGTCTATATCCTCAACCTGGCGGGAGCCGACTTCCTCCTCCTCTGCTGCCAGATTGTACATTCCCTGGAGATACTCAGCAATAACTTCCATTCTATTTCTATTTCTATCTACAGCTTTTTCTTCACTGTGTTCAACTTTGCCTACATCACGGGCCTGAGCCTTCTCAGTGCCATTAGCACCGAGCGCTGCCTGTCTGTCCTGTGGCCCATCTGGTACCGCTGCCACCGCCCCAGACACATGTCACCTGTCATGTGTGCCCTGCTCTGGGCCCTGTCCCTGCTGTTGAGCATCCTGGAAGAGAAGTTCTGTGTCTTCCTGGTTTGGGATTTAGATCATATCTCGTGTTCAGCATTAGATTTACTCATTGCTGGGTGGCTGATTTTCTTATTTGTGTTTCTCTCAGGGTCCAGCCTGGCCCTGGTCACCAGACTGCTGTGTGGCTTCCAGAGGGTACAGATGACCAGGCCGTATGTGACCGTCCTGCTCACAGTGCTGGTGTTCCTCCTCTGTGGCCTGCCCTGGGGCATCCATTGGTTCCTTCTATACTGGGTTAATAATAATTTATATAAGCTCTCCCTTCCTCTTCAACTGGTTTCATATGTCCTGTGCAGTGTCAACAGCTGTGCCAACCCCATCATTTACTTCTTCGTTGGCTCCTTTAGGCAGCAATGGAGGAGGCGAAGGCAGACCCTGAAGCTGGTTCTCCAGAGGGCTCTGCAGGACTTTCCTGAGGGGGATGAACATGGAGGAAGTCTTCCTCAGGAAGCCCTGGAGATGTCGGGAAGCAGTCTGGTGTCCTGATTCAGAGTCTTGCTTTGTTCAGACACATGGGGTTTAGAGAACCAGTTTTGTCCCTATCAGTTTGGGAGGTTTCTTAAGTCTCTCAGCCCCTGGGCCTCTGAATTCAAACAATTAACATAATAATCCTGCTTATGAGTTTTTACTGAGACTGTGCCTCTTAAACACACACTGAGTGGAGTGTCTAAGAACTGCCTTACCCAGGATGTTCACCTGACACCCTTGGGAGCTTTGCTAATGCTGGAGTGCAGGACTTTTCCCACAGGAAAAGTCCAAATTTCTCTGATCACTGCGCTGGATAGAAACTAAAAGTAGTTTATATTTTTGAAAAGTTTTTTTCTTATTTTTTACAATCTGTTGCCAATAAATTAAAAGGACAAAATTTATCTAGCCCCCAAGACCAATCTTCTTTGGTTTTGTCAGGCCTTACAATAGCTGCATAGTAAATAGACTAATACATATTTGTTGAATCAATGACTTAATAAATTAATAACTGATGAATTTTCAAATCATCTGTGCTCAATCCCTATGTGGTAGATTTGAGACACCCTCTTTAAGCTAATTGCTTTCACCAGCATCTACCTTTGCAAGCATGAAGTTAGATTTTATAACCAGGTAAATCAATGTTAAAGTACATTTAAAATTTCAGGTCAGTTGTTTTCGGCATTACCTTTCATGTGCCCTCCAGTAGAATCCCATGTGCTCCCTTTCTTTCCAACCCTTTGCCTCTGCCCTGACTGGCCCTTTCTGGGGACTCTCTAATCTTTTGTGTCAGGTTTCCAATGGGTCTTACTGGACTCTATGATCTCCAAGGACAGCTTCTATGTCAAATGTTTCTTTCATGCAAACACCTTTCAACATTTATTAATCTCAATACAGAAAAAATTTTAAGTTATATATTCTATAAATAAGGATATTAAGTTTAAATGTTATACCCTTTTAAACATTTTTAATACAGGTATAATTAAGAGAGGGCTTGCAGAGGTCATCACCTCAATGAGTTTGGACAGTGATGCACTCATGTGATGCAAACCACAATCAAGAGATATCACCTTTTCATCACCCCTGAAAGTTCTCTCATGTCCCTCCCAGTCATCCGTCCTGCCACAGAAGCAACTTTTATTTCTACGTCTGTCACCAAATGTTGGTTTGCCTGACCTTTGACTTCATATATTTAGGACCATAAAATACATTTTTTTGTCCCTACCTTCTTTCACTCAGCATAATTTTTGGGGATTTACCCATGTAATTGCATTGCACATATCAGTAGTTGTCCCTGGTATAAAGCTGAGTACTGTTTCATTGTATGTGTGCAAGCTTATTTTCATATTGATATGTATATAAGTAGCATTCCATATACAGGAAGCTATTGTGGCTAAAGCTGCTATGAGCATTCTTATTCAAGTCTTTTTCTGGACATAAGTTTACATTTTCCTTCGGTAAATAAATGAGCTAAAGTGAAACGTCTGGGTCACAGGAAGATGTATGCTGAACTCTATAAGAAATTGCCGGGCCGGCCGAGTGGCGCGATGGTTAAGAACTCGCTTGGGATGCCAGAGGGCGGATCCCACATATGAGGGCCAGTGACACTGCCCTCTACAGCTAAGATGCTGAACAACAGCTCAACCTGGAGCTGGGTTGCCATGAGTCTCCGGCGACGGCGTAGGCTGCAGCCCCTGTGGCAGTGGGTTGCCATGGGCTACCGTGTGTAGCCAGCATGTGTAGCCAGCAGCCAGCGTGAGCGGCCAGCAGCCGCAGTGAGCGGCCGTCCAGAAGCCGGCGACTGATCTGCTTCACCAGGGAAGAGCGCAATGACGGTGCCAACTTGAGCCAGTGAAGCAACATCCTCCACAACTAGATTGAAGAACAAAAATGACAGCAACTTGTCTGTTCCCATCCCCCCAATTCCCCAATAAAAATCTTTAAAAAAAAAAGAAATTGCCAAACCCTTTTTCTATAGTGGTTGTCCTATTTTAAATTCTCAACCAGCAAAGTATGCAACGTCCTTTTGTCCTGCAGGATCCCAAAAACCGTATTGCCAGTTTTTAAAATGTTTCTCGTTCTAATCAGAGTGAAGTGGTATCTCCTTGTATCTAATTTGCATTTCCCAAATGACTTGGGTAATGGAGCAACATTTCAAGTGTGTATTGTCTTTTTGTATTTTTTGAAGTGTCTGTTTAAGGTTTTCCCATTTTTATTGTGTTTCTCCTTTTAGTCATTTATTTGTTGGAGTTTTTATATCTGCAGAATGAGTCCTTTGTTAGTTATGTGTATTGTAAATATTCATCCAGTCAGTGCTTTGTCTATTCATTTTAACACATTTTATATTTAAGAGCGCTTTTAGGTTTAAAGAAAAATTGCCGGAATACTCTTCTGCCATAAGAAAGATGAAATATTGCCATTTGTGACAACATGAATGGATCTTGAGATTATGATGCTAAGCGAAATAAGTCAGACAGAAGTTGAGAACCGTATGATTTTACTGATATGTAGGATATAAAACTGAAAGCAGCAAAGGAACAAGACAAACAACAACAAAAAAGAAACAAAAACTGATAGACGTAGACAATAGTTTAGTGGTTACCAGAGGATATCGGGGAGGGGGTGATAGATTAGGGTAAACGGGATCAAATATATGGTGATAGAAAGAGAATTGACTCTCGGTGGTGAACACACAATGTGATATATAGCTGATGTATTACAGAATTGTACACCTGAAACCTATGTAACTTTACTAACAATTGTTACCCCAACAAACTTTAATTTAAAAACAAAATTGCCCAGAAAGTACAGAGGACTCCCATACACTTCCTCGCCCCCATATCAGTTTCCTCTCCCCCAAACTCCCCCATGCAGTTTCTCCTATTACTCACATCTTCCATTTATGTGGCACATTTATTAAAATTGATGCACCCATATTGATACATTACTATACATTGAAGTCCACAATTTACATTACAGTTCACTCTTCTTGTTGTATAGTTCAGTGCATTTGACAAATGCAGAATAACATGCATCTGCCATTATAGTATCATATAGAATAGTTTTCTGCCCCCAAAATGAATTGAGAGCCTCAGTATCAATTTTTTTTTTGTATTTATCCTGTTTGGTGTTCTCTATGCTACCTGGATCTGAGTTTTGATGCTTGTCAATAATTCAGGAAATTCTCAGCCATTATTACTTTAAATATTTCTTCTCTTCATTTTTCTCTTTCTTCCCCATCTGATAGTCCCATTACATGTATGTCACACCTTTTGTAATTATCCCACAGCTCTTGAACATTGTGTTCTGTTTTTTTAGTCTTTTTTCTCTTTGCTTTTTAATTTTGGAAGATTCTATTAACATGTCTTGAGACTCACTATTCCCTTCAAAGTCTGTATCTAGTCTGCTGATAAGCAGCTTATCAAATGTATTCTTCATTTCTATTATAATCTTTTTATTTCTAGCATTCCTCTTAGTTTCCATCTTTCTGCTTATATTGTCTATCTGCTCTTGCATATTTTCCACTTTTCCATTAGAATCTTTAACATATTAATCATGGTTATATAAATTCCCAGTATGATCATTCCAAATTCTTGGCCATATCCTAAATTCTTATCATCTTATTGGGGAGCCAATTGATTCTGTTGTAAATACTGATAAATTTTAAAAAATAGAAATTTTTGTTTGCTACCCATATCTATAACCGCAACTAATAAAAGTACTTCTAAGAAAATCCAAAACAAGCTCTTGCTTTTGGAGAATTGTATTCAGGTAGAAATTTACCATTTATTTAATGCACTCTATGACAATTGGAAAGAAAATGTAAACCTGCATGCTTTACTACCGTGATAAAGTGAAAGAGTGGGACAGGCCATGAGGATCCTGAATGACATGTAAGGAAGGTGTGCTTTATTCTTCATTATACAGCCTCCCAGAGCCGGTTCACCTTGCTTGGCATTGCTGCGCAGGTACAGTCACAGCAAAAGGCTCCACAACAACAGCCACTTGCAGGGACAGGTACTGGATGGGGAAGGAATAGCGAGAGGTTGAGCAACAGGAGTAGAGTCAAAACAAATGTTGAGAAACATCTCATGAGGGGTAATGACTCGGAGAACCCTGCACTCTCATTAACCAGCAGCTTCTTGTACAGGAAATGACGGGGGCTGTTCAGCTTCTTGAGAAGCCTCGCTTGGGCACCAGGCCTCACCCTTGTTTCTGCCAGTAACTCCAAGGGTAGAGAAGTGTCCTCTAGCAGATATCAATTTCAGGAGGCTCTTCCCTTCAGCACAGATTATCTTATTATCCCCAGCAAGAAGAATGGAGGAAAGGTACATTTATCATGTGCTCATGTTCAGAGCCACTGTTAGGGTGGTTGTTTTTCGTTTTGTTTTTGCGTGTACATCCCATAACTCTATTTGAGGGTGGAGTATTCAGTACTCAAGGCGACTCCAGGCAGAAAAGACAAGGGACATGAAATACCCACCTGGCACCTTGACAGCCTCAGTTGTGGAGCTCTGAACCGGTGAACCAACACTGTTCCCCCTTATTACATCCTCTTCCATTCTCCCCTCTATCCCAACCATTCCAATGTGCTTCATGGTGAGAAATGTGTTGCTTTCCTTAGTTTCAGAGCAATACAGGGTACATGCATGCATCCCAAAACTGAAGTTCTATGACTAACCCAGTTGTCTGCTTTACTTGCTTTTCAAAAGTTTTCTTTTCTATACCTCTCAGAAAACAGATGGCCTAAAACGGGATGATTGACAAGAGTTTAATATGAAACAATTTAGCAATCTGGGCAGGTTTAGGGAAGATTACATGGGATGGTGACACTTACCCCTGAGGAAAGTAAGAGCAGGAAGCCTTAACATCACTAAGCTTAAAAGACAAGGGGAAGGAAAAGTTACCACAACTCAAGCTGGGTTGTGGCTGTAGCTGT